ATGTGCATTTGCGTGCAACGTTCAACGTACCCTGCCCCACACCTCGTGTTTTCTTGGGGCAGGGCGTGGTTGATCTTTGTGGTTTAGATAGGGCCGGTGGGCCATCTAGCGGGCTTTCGGCGTTGCATGCGCAGTAGTTTCATTTGTGTAGAAGGTTTGTGCAGGGTGCAGTGGAGCCTTTTGATTTCTGCTCGAAGTCGAGGTCGGCGATCGCCACTACCTCGTGGTGCGCATGGCGTACGACAGTCTCTGCCGCGTGTTCCTCGACCGCGGCCCGGGACCTTTACGAACTGCAAGGTGGCATTCGAACGGCCAACGACCGTTGCCTTTGGCATTCTCAACGACGGTGCACAGCACATATACTACATTCCCATCTACAAGTTGAGCGATGAGACGATTAGCCGCATCCGCATGTGTGCGACGCCGGCAGTCGTTCAGCGTCGACTGGATTCAGATCATCAAAGGTACTACGCGAACCATCAACGATGCTGTGGTGGAGCATTGACATTAGCACCGACCATCACCAAGGTGCGCGGCTGCATCGACCAGTACTTTGCCACAAGCGCGAAATGGTCAATGTGACGCCGCAGATGACCAAGACCAACACCGTGCACCCTCGCTTTACGATGCTCTTTGTTCCGCTCTCGCGACCATACGCGATAAGATACAACTGCATGACCCACGAAACGATAGCGATCTAGACAAAAGTCAACACGCGACCTTCGCTGCGCTGCGGTGCGCAGACTTTTCCCGGGCCAACGCGCCGTTGTCGCTTCCTGCAGTCGTCGCGCGATTTCACAATCGCACCTAATCGGAGAGTTGCGTGAATTTCAGTCAAGTGCGCCGTCGTACTTTATCGATATTTTATTACTCTTTTCGAGTTTAACGTCCGGCAATGTGACAGCACTTAACAGGAATTCCTAAGTCGTCCTTAATAGGACGCATTTGGCGCGATATGATTGGCTCAGACCAATGAAACTGCGTTTCATTAGTCAAAATTACTTGATATATAGCCAATGGGTTGTCCAGAATGTACGAATTAATCCCTTGGGATGCTGGTACACCACGTAAGCGTTCCTACCAGTAGCTTGGCGGTACGCCGCGACGTGCTAGACGTAGGATGAGCAGTGTGCTTCACCACACAACGAACGAGCACTGAGTTTGCTTCGTATGAAGCTGTATTGAAGCCGTCGAAGACACCACGTTTGGCTTTGAATATGTCTATCAATTGAAAAACGCGTCAAAATAAATCGAAAAACGTGTCAAGATAAATTGAAAAAACGTGTCAAAATAGATCAAAAAATCGTGATAAAATGGATACGTGGGCGAGCTCGACGGGTCTTGTAGGCTGCAGTGAAGCCGTCGCAGACACCACGTCAAATACGTCTATAAATTGAAAAACGTGTAATTTAAATCGAAAATACATGATAAAATGGACACGTGGGCGAGCTCGACGGGTCTGATGAGGCTGCAGTGAAGCCGTCGCAGACACCACGTTTG